TGCTGTGGGGAAAGGAGGTGGGTTCCGATCCGAGCTGGCCGCCATATTCCCTGTTGTGAGCGCAACTGGCGTCCCGGAAGTGAAGGGGGGCGGGCGGTTGAGCGGCTGCAGCGACACCTGCCGGTCACTTGGTCACATTACAGCCTCGGAAACCACTGCACGTTGTAACCCAAGAGAAACAGTGTATTTGATTTCAGATTGCAGATTTTTGCTGAGTGTGCTTCTTAGACAAATATCTAAAAACACCCTCCCAAAACAAACAAGCAAACAAAATTTCCAAACTATTTGCTTATTTGGCACCGTGAACAATGTCTAGAGCACATATGTCAAAATATGTAATTTTATGTTCCTCGCAAAAGTTTGTGCATGACCGTTAAAGTTTACTTAAAGTTTACTGTATGCGGCTTAAAAGCGCATGCTGACCATAAACTACATCTCCCACAATGCATTTCGATTGTTTGAATCTCAATGCCCATGGTACAAGGAGCTAGAGGGACATGAGGTACCGCCAGATCTGTTATTTGATTATAGACATGTGTGGTATCCACAGAAACGTCAAAGACCACCAAAAAAGCAAAAACAGCTTAACGATTAACAAGCAGCTAAACAGATTCCGCAAAAAGATGTAAACACAAAGCCCGGATCTCGCCTATACAGGATATGCCCATAGGGTGTGAAAAGCTGACATCCCACAGATTCCGAAACGGCAGGTTTTGTCACCCTCCAACCAAAACTCACTGAACCAGCAGCAAAACAAGATCACTACACTTCACGTTTGAAAAACACTGTAATGAATTTCCACTTACTTTGCCTGCCTTGTTTCCACCCATAAATTCGCACTTCCTTCACAGCCCCATCTCTCAGTGTGCTTCAAGACCATAGTTTCCCAAGAAAATTCTCTATTTTCTGCCTTATTTGCTTGCTTATTACGCACCAATCTTCCGTTGTATACAGTGTTGTCGGTCGCTGCCCTCACCACCGCCCCCCACACACACACACACACACACACACACACACACACACACACACACACACACACACACACACACACACACACACACACAAATTATATCTGACAAGAAAGCCTAATTTCTACAGTTCAGCACCAAAGAAATTTCAACTTTCAAAATTTATACCAAATTGCGAAACACTTAGCTATGTCTGTAATAAAACCTCTGTAACGTTGTGAAAAACGGAAGTTTGTTTTTCCACTTTCTACTATAGAAATCTGTTTTTTTATGACTACAGTTTTAAAACAACAACAACCACACAACAAGGAGAGTCTGCTACCAAAGCTACCAGAAAGTCTCTTGTAATTGTACACATTTATATCTTACAATTTAAGTCCAAAGAGTCATGCTGACAGAGTTCTTTCTTTGCCACAGCAGCTCTTTCTTTAACATGTAGAAAAACAGTTAAATGTGTGATTTCTTTACATTGACAGAAAGGGCAGTTTCACTGGTCCTGCCGCTTAAGATCCAAGTGGGCTGTATGTGGCCCGCAATGTAAAATTAGTTTGACACTCCTGGTCTACATTCAGGTGACATGATTTTACCTGTTCAAAGGTGCAATTCCCATAGGAGTGCACTTACCACGTGACCGCTGATGATCAAATGTCAGTGTTATGTGGCTAGATCAGAGGGCAAAAACTGAACTTATTAACCTGAAGGTTGGGTGTTTGTACTGAACTGTTGCATTAGACTGTTTTAGTAGTAGTGAAGCAGTAGCGGGAGACTGTCAGGCAGATGGTGGTGTTCTGCAATTCAGGGCACTTTGTTTCTTAAATGTCTAGAACAGGGATGTAAAACTCATTTTACATTACGGGCCACATGCAACCCACTTTGATGTTAAGTGGGCTGGACATGTTAAACTCACCTTTGTGTCAACGTGCAATTTCAACAATATATCTCAGTTTTTATGCATGATATAGAAAAGTTACTGTACAGACAGCTCATTGCACAGACTTTTCTGTAATTATAAAACAAAGCTTTTGTTAATTTACAGGAAATAACCTGTTTTTTTCTTTTACCTTAGTGTAGTATGAATACTCATGAGTGAGGTCTTCATTCGCAGCAATGCTATAAAACACTATTAAAATACAGTTAAAAGTCTAAAACCTCGGCATCCTTCACTTGTTCCAAAGCTATACAGTGGGCTGAACCCGAGCCTTTGTTGGGCCAATTTTGGCCCCCACCCTCATGTTTGACATCTTGATCTAGACTATATAATATTTATCTGGTCTGAGATGAACATAGACAAACTCAAATGTCGGCTTTTCGCACCCTATGGGCATATCCTGTAGACAAGATATCACAGTTTACAACTCTTTGAGTAAAGTATTTTTAGCCTATATATATTTTCTTTTTAGTGGGTCATTTTTCTACATGTCTTTGCCAGATCGTAATATTTCCCAATACCTAGTTTATGCACACTCTTACAAATGCGTTTTATACTGGCTTTGCACGCTTGGACTGTCCTCTCAGTGGAGATCAAAACAAGTAGTTTTATTTTGCTTTTTTTGTTTTGCTGCGAATGCTGCAGAAAACAGCAAAAAGCAAAAAGCATGACTAATAGACATGTTTTTTTTAAGTAAAATCCACAGCTTTAAAAATGCAAAAATAGAGAAATTTCATCATAACTGCGCTGACTGTGGAAAAAATGACTTTCCGTCAGCTGACCTCACATACAGGATGTTGTCACGTCTATAGATGGAAGAATTTTTGTCACGTGTACATAGATTCAGGTTCACACTGTGAATAAAACCCAAATGTTTTTCCCTATCATGTGAGGTGAATCCATCTCATAATAACCACATGATAGAGTACAAACTGACATAGGCAGTCCTTTTCTATGGATTGTTAAATTTATGAGGTGAAATGACAGCTGCCCTGCTTTTTTAATGAAGGATTTCAATGTTGTAAATCAAGCCTGAATAGCAATCTTTGACCTGTCGTTTACCGAAAGATATTTATCCCCCCCCCCCTCCTCAAAATGTAAAGCCCAAGGTTAGAGACTCTTCGGTGTTCGCTCATCTCTGGAGTATGTATGTATACCAATGCTGCCTGTCGGGCGTCATGTCTGATGAAAAGAAGACGAGCAGACACGGTTACTTTGTTAGTATTCATAATTGTTTGTATACACAATGTATAGGAGCACCAATAAAAAAAACATCTTTTTTTTCCTCTTTTTTTTTGTCCAAACATTTTTTCCGACATTTTTTAAAAAGCCACAGATTTTTTTTCTCCATTTCTACAGAAAGCAAAGAAAGCTCTGTACATGAACAAGCAACAACAGAATTCCTCATCGTGAGCTGCAGAGTATAAACCGCCTGGCCGCTCAATCCATATCATCTCTGAAGCAAAAAAACAAAAATAATAATAATAATCATTTTTTAAAAAAAAAGAAAAAAAAAGACCAGCTGCCTGCTGCTTACCTAGGACACTACGTTACACAAACAGCTTTCGATATTTAAAACACAAGATATGTAAGAAATGTACTTTCCAAAAATTGTGAAAAAGTGCAATACAGGTTCAACTGTTTACAACTCAATAGATTATTTCCCAAATGGAGTCCGCTCCTTTTTCTCCCGCTTTTGTCCGTCAACCCCCACCCTGGTCCCTCCCGACGTGCCGCCCCACAAAAACTTGTTCCTTGTTTGTATCCATAGTTAAAATCTCTTACAGTTATATTGACATTCATGACGATGTACATGTATGAGAAACATGGTATTCACAAAAGTAGAGCAAATTACTATGATCGCAAATGACAAGTTTCTTTGGGTAAGAGGGTAATGAAAAACTAGTTTCTTTTTTTTTTTTTTCCTTTTTTTTAAATATTGGATTTGTGTATAGAACAAGCTTCTTTTTTTTCTTCATACAAAACCATGTAAAAAAAACAAAAACAAATTGGGAGTCCCCTTCAAAAAGGCCAACATCTTTGCATCTGATAACATCTGTAGAAGAACCACGGTGATGGAAAAACAGCAAACACACTCCTGCGCTGCCGTGGATCGGGGATGCACGCACACACACGTGGTTCAGCAGTACAGATGCTTGAAACCAAATATTGGTTTTTTTGGAAAAACAACACACATTCCACTTAACTTCTGGTATAAAACACAACTCGACTGTTGCTGTAGATGTTTTTTTTGTAATTTAGGTGGGGTGGGGGACCAGCGCCCTGAGTCCTCGGTACCCCTGACCTGCGAGGAGATCCTGTCAAGTCCCACTGAACGATGAAGAAGCAGCTGCTGATGGTGACAGCTGAGTGACACCATCCACGCAGAGCGGAGTCGTCTCCACGGCGCTGACATACCTGCGCGTTGGTAAGGCTTTTTTTTTTTTTTTTTTTTTTTTTAAACGGAGCTCCCGTGACAAACCAAAAACTGGAAAACACTTTCATGTACAAAGGGTGGCAACGCGACCTCAGAGAAGAATGTACTGTAGAAACGCACCAGGTCTCTCTCTCCTCTGCTGATATGAAAAACTGAGCTTCAGGACTCATTCATTATCCCACTTCCATCCCAAATAATAATAATAATAATAATAATAATAATAATAATAATAATAATAATAATAATAATAATGAAATGATGGGAAACATTAAAAACATCAACAAACAAACAAAAAACATATGTACATGTTTATAAGGATATTTATGTAAAAAATAATACAATAACATAAAAAAAACAATGAAAAGTCATATGACACATGGGTAAAAGACAAAAGAAAAGTTGATGAATAATGTAGGCTTGGTAAAGAGGAGGAGGAGGCTGAAATCCAACGTTCACTTCACTGAAACTGTCCAATAGATATACAAAATGCACAAAGAAAACACTAATCAAACAAACACTGTGTGTAGACTGTGCCGCATGAGCACCATACATCAAAAACCAGCATATTTTTTGGACTTGACACTGAATCAACCGTCTCAAGCGAGAGTGTTCGGCACCGAAAAACAAACAAACAAACAAAAAAAAATGACTACCATTTTTGCTGAGGAAAAAAAAAAAATTCACAATCTTCCGGTTGAAAGCGACCAATGTTTGTTTGTTTTTATTTTTCCTTTTTAAAAGTTCATAGTCTCTGAGAATGGTTCTTCATATAAAGATGAAGTTGTCTCACTTTTTCTTCCCTCTCATGGCAATCTCCTTCCTGAGACTGAGCAAGGTAAGCCGGGGAAAAAAGGAAAAAGTAATTCCTACGTTTCAGTCTGGAAGTTTTGTTTTTCTCTGCAGGGGGAGACGCGAGAGTTTTTTTTTCTTTTTCGTGGGGATGAGAAGCCATTTTGTGTCCAGCAGCCTCTGGCTCCGAAGGTTTTGTTGATTTGTTTTGTATTGTTTGGTTGTGTTTTTTTCTTTAGGGTGTGTGACTTTCTGTATGTGTGTGTGGGGGGTGACAGAGAGTGTGTGGTTGTGTGTGTGTCTGTCTGTGTGTGGTGTTTTGGTGCAAGTGCATGCTCATGGCGCTGTGGTGATGGCGTTCAGGTCCTTCATCAGGCCCTCGAGGTGGGCCATCTCCTCGGTCAGCTCGTCGGGCTCGTAGCTCTGGGGGAGAGGAACAGGGTTACTGCGGGGGGCGGGGGAGGGGCAGGGGGGGAGGGAGGCAAGCACCTGGAAGGAGGGAAGGAAGAGAGCAGAGGAAAGGAAAGGAGAGGAGAGGATCAGTCAGGGATCTTTCACAGAGGACAGGGAGGAGTTTGGCAAAGGGGGCGCATGGGTGAGGTGAGCTGGAGGGGGGGGGGGGGGGGGGGGGCTGGGTGGACAATGAACTGAAGGGTCGGAAAAGGACAAAAACAGAAAGAGGCAGCAGACAAAAGCATGACGTCGAGGAAAAAAACCAAGAGAAGCCAACACCAACATACGGTCAACAGCCAATCAAGGCAGAGAGAAGGTTCAATGGCAAAAAATTAAAAATCATTCCAGTTATGGGTTTGTTTGTTTTGTTTTTTTGTTAAGATCGGTAGTTAACGGTTAAATGAAATGACCAAAGGAGAGCCGACAACGCCACAAAAAAAAGAGAAAGTAAAAACATGGTGAGATTGAATTTGGAAAGAATACAAAAAAAGAAAAACAGAGAGAGAGAGAACAAACAGAAAATGTGGTTAAAACCAATGTTCAGCTGAAAGTAACTGTATCATCCAGTGCCCAAAGTAAACCTGACATGGATTTGGAAGGAATGTGATTGGTATCTTTAAAAAAAACAACCAAAAGAAGCAGCAAAAATAATATCAAATATTCACCACCATCATCAGGCCTACCAAAAAAAAAAAAATCTGACTGCCTTACTACAAGCAGCCAGTGTGGGGCGCCGTACTCACGCTGTCTACATCTTCTAGCATCTTGCTGGTCTCTGGTACATCGGGGGCGTTGGGCACGGTGACCACCATCGGTGTTCGTGTCCTTCCTAGTGTTCCGATGGAGGCTGTTTTCACAACATGCGGGTGAGTGGGAGGCCCTGAGTGAAGAAAGGTCACACGAAAATACTACACTCAGTGAACGCAACACACACCAGTGCTTTAAAAAAAAATTTTTTTTCAGCTCGCAAAGACTTTTTAAGAGCTAGTTAGAAAAATTCTGATTCAACTCTGTTTAGCTTGGTGGGTGTCAGTGATATGAGGGCTCACCGGTCTGAGTGAGCAGGGGAGTGCTGGGCAGGGCGGGAGACTCATAGGATGGGTGGCTGGAGGCTGGGATTGCAGGTACAGCGAAGCTCTTAAGAGGGTGGGCGTGGGCATGCGGGTGAGCTGAGCGGAGTGGGGGCAGGTTGCTGGAGTAGCTAGGCTCCTCCTCTGTGGTGGTGGAGCCGTGGTAGCTGCCCTCTGGGTCAGCCAGGATCTCTGAGGGGCAGGAGGCTTGGGAGGAGGCGGTGGCAGGAGGGGCGGGCTCAGAGCTGGGAGTATTCCTCACAGACTCTGGAGAGGAGGCAGCAGGTGGGGACAGTCAGAATACGGGTTTGCAGGATTAAAACATTTTTCGGCATGCCAGTGCCTGCCAACCGGCTTGTAGAAAGTTACCAAGAAAATGTCATAATTAATAATTAAAGCTGGAATTTTAGGCTTTCATTTTTGGGTTTGCTGTCGCCAATCTAAATATCTGTCATGGAACTTTCTATTTGTGAGTCTGTACACGAGAAGCTGAGAAACCTGTCTTATTTAGAATGTAAATATACATATGAACATTACATCATTCAGGTTTCAGTTCATCCTATCCCAGTGGTCTTTTCTTTGTGTTTACATCTCACAGTATCCCAGTTCTATAGCAATATCCAGGTTCCTCAAAACATGAATAAGAGCATGCAAACATCTTAAGTGTTAAAAAAATAAAATAAAAAGAAAGTAGGAAAAAAATTTCAAAAGCTCAGTAGCAATACAAAGCAAACATCTTAACATTTCTGAAGCTGCAACTTGTGGTCTACTTTTATAAATGATTTCAGGTCAGTTGAACACCAGTTCAGCCTTCTATTTTTCTTTCACTATAACTAGTTATTTGTGCATTATACTGCCAAAAGTATTCACTCACACACCCAGATCAGTTCAGGTGTTCCAATCACTTCTGTGGTCACAGGTGTATAAAATCAAGCACCTATACATGAAGACTTCTTCTACACACATTTGTGAAAGAGTGGGCAGCTCTCAGGAGCTCAGTCGTAGGTACTGTGATAGGGTGCCACCTGTGCAAGTCCAATCGTGAAATTTCATCGCTGCGAAATATTCTACAGTCAACTGTGCTACTATAAAAATATGGAAATGATTAGACATGGTACAGACCTCCAAACTTCATGTGACTTTCAGATTAGCTCGAAAACAGTGTGTAGAGAGCTTCGTGGAATGGGTTTCCATGGCCAGGAGAACGGTACTTGTCTAACTGCATTGTGCCAAGTGTAAAGTTTGGTGGAGTGGGGATTATGGTGTGCGGTTGTATTTTTTAGGAGTTGGGCTCAGCCCCTCAGTTCCAGTGAAAGGAACTCTTAATACTTCAGCATACAAAGCTATTTTGTACCATTTCATACTCCTGACTTTTTTGGAACAGTTTGGGGATGGCCCCTTCCTGTTCCTGTTCCCTTCCTGCACCAGCGCATAAAGCCCAAAAAGACATGGATGAGAACTTGACTGCCCTGCACAGAGTCCTGACCTCAACCCCACAGAACACCTTTAGGATGAATTAGAGCGGAGACTGCAAGTCAGGTCTTCTCATATAACAGTGTCCGACCTCACAAATGATCTTCTGGAAGAAGAAACACTCCTAAACCTTTTCGAAAGCCTTCCCAGAAGAGTTGAAGCTGCAATAGGGTGGAGCAACAATATATTAAACCCTATGCATTAAGAAGCTCATATCCATGTGAAGGCAGACGTGTGAATACTTTTGGCAATATAGTGTATCCGACTGCATTCCCTTGTTTATCTTGGTAAAGAGCACAGCCAGTATGTTAGGAAGGAAAGCAACAGTGGTTAGTAACACTATGGAGAACTCAAATATGAACATAAGGTGGTAGCGGCATGGGAATGAATAAGCAAATGACAAATCTGTGAGTGGTTAGGACATAAGGTAAGAGTGCCCTTGTCCTCTTTGTTATTCCTCGTGCTGTCCAGCAGGGGGCAGTGTCTCACCTGTGGAGTCCACCCTGTCTAGATGAGAGATGGGGGTGCAGGTGTGCGGGCGTGGGTACCCGCTGCCCTGGTGGTAGAGGTAGCTGCGTGTCGCCGACGACAGGCTGCCCATGTGATAATAGTGGTGATGGTTATCGAGGGAATGGATGGGGTGAGCGCTAATCACGGCTGTGAATGGAAATGGACATGAATACACGGACACACAAACACAACAAGATGTTTAACCAACTGGTGATGAGGATGATGACGATGAGATGTACACATGCAGTTTTCTGTGACACACACACACACACACACACTTCAATATTCTCTGTCAGCTTAGTCACTAAACCAAAAAATCCCCAGAAACGTTAACATGTCACGAGAAGCATGAAATGTTTTCTAATTAGACAACCACAAGGAACATTTGGAAGTTGTTAACTTAAGACTTTGTGTGCTCTAGTTTCATATTGTTTTGTGAGGAGTTTCCAAATCGACTGCACAAACACACACACACACACACACACACACGCACACACTTACGCTGAGGCGGCTGCGCATCAAAAGGCATCATCATTTTAGGCCTCATCCCTCGTCGGCCTGCTAGTGTAGACATGCTGTCCTCTGATTCGTGGCCTAAAAGGTACGGTGGACACCAGCCAATCAGAAAGAGCTGCTACCCTATTGATTGTCGTTTTTTCCCCCCCTTTTATTAACGATCCGTCTGATCTCAGGATCCTTAATCAATGCACTAATTGGGTTTTGATTGTATCTTTAAATGTCACAGTTACATTGAGTAGCTTTACTGTACTTGCAGAAACCTGCATCATGACGAGTAATGGGCAGCATGTATGAAAAGCATGAAATGTTTTGCATGATAATCACAGGAAAACAACAGTAATTGAACAGGTGTTGACTCATGACACAAAAACCTCTTCAGGACTCCTCCAGCAACCTCCTGAAAGCAAACCTGAGGATATTACCTCATTCCTACCTGAAAATCATCGTTTTTTTAAGTCACACTCTTAAAACGTAGTTTTCTGTCTGCAGCCAAACTAGAGAGGTCTACTCAATGTTATTATGCATGTAAGCTCAGGCAGCAAGGGTGGCATTTCGCTTTGATCTCTTTTCCCAAAACATCACATTTTAAGTCTCCGCCTTGAGCAAGACTGACCACGGTAGGAGTTGCGCCTCTGCTGCAGGTGGGGGTTGCTCTCCAATCCGCTGTCAGCAGGGGTGATGTCCTGTGAGGTGCGGGGAATGGGGGTTTCAGTCATGACTGGATTGGGGTCTGGCGACTTGTCCATGGGTTTAAGCTCCAGCCTCTCGTGGTGAATCCAAAGATCGGGTGGCTTCAGGTCTTTGGAGTTTCCCTTGTATTTGTGAGAGCCGTTGGAAGATTTTGAGGCAGCCCGCTTTCTATCAGAGAGAACACAGAGCTGTTAGCGACAGCAGCAAAACAGTCAAAGATACTGGAGGGAGCTGATCTGTAGGTTAATAAAACAGAGTGAGAAGATCTATATTACAAAGAGACAAAAAGAGAGCATGCAATGTAAAAGCGGGACAGTGCGTCTTACTTTTTCTGGTGGGATGTGGTGCGCCGCGTGCACAGGAAAGCCCCCACTACCACCACTATGATGGTGAAGGCTCCCACTGAGATGATTATGACAATGACCAGGATATGATTTTCCCCATCTTTAATTCCTCGGCAAGAGAAAATCAAAGTTAGAGTGCAAACTTTTACGCATTAATGTCTGTATGAACTTCAACAGAAAAAAAAATGAAATGCAAGATCAGAATAAATAGTTTTAAATTTGTACTGAAACAAATATGAGGCTATAGTTACTTATAAGTCACCTCTAAGTTATAAATTATTAGTCTATGATCATTTCTAAGAGTTGGTTGAGTTACATTGTTCAGTCGTGGGGACAGTTTTGGGAAACTTTGTCCAGGTTACAGCACGACTGTAGTGTCTGACAACATGACAACTGAGCATGAGCACTAAATAAGGCAGGAGGAATTATAATCTTACTTGGTGGAACAGGGTCCCGTGGAGGTTGGTTTCCTGAAGGTCCCATCTTTGGTGTGAGATTTGAGGCTGAATCAAGATAGGTGAAAAACAAAAAGTCATTCTAATGGTCTTTTCTATCACCACATAGAGCCTGTCAAATGTTTATTATCTTAAAAACTACACAAGCACAGTCACACGGACTAAGTTTTTCTTTCCTTCTTTCTTTCTTTCTTTTTTTTTTTTTTAAATTGGCGTAGAAGATGGTCCTTGGAAAAAGAGAAACATTAGGGGGTGCAGTCCAGCAGTGATAAAGTGTGGAGAGCGAGTTTACCTTGGTCATTAGCCATTTTGTCAGAGGACTCAGCTTAACAGGCCAAGGGAGAGCAGAGAGGGAGAGACAATAAAAAGCAAAAAAGTGGTTAGCTGAAAACAGCAGCGAGGGAGACAGAAATAAAGTGAGAGATGGGGATTGTGAGGAGGAGGAAGAGGAAGAGAGGGGCAAAACTATAGGAAGGAAAACCAGTAGGAAAACCAGACAGCAGCCAAACAGAGTATGCTAGAAACAACCAGACTGACATTACAGGAAAGTATATTGAAAAACATATACAGAAGTTAAAACACACACTGAGATATATATATATATATATATATAAAAAATAATACCTTCCTACAGTCAACACACACTGACTTTATGTCCTAAATATTAGCATTCTCTAAAAAGAGTGGATGCTTATGAAATATATTCAGCTTAAACCTAAATCAGCCGTAAGAAGCAGAAACAAACTGAACCTACAATATTCTTTACAACATTTGCTTAGCAGACTCATCAGTTAGCAGCCCAAGCCAAATTAATCAAGAAGGTTTGAAAAGCATCCTTGTTATAGCTCACGAGTTTCACGCAGCAATAGAAAAAGTGCTCAAAGGTGTTTGGAATAAAATGTATTTAAGCTTATATGATGTGTTGAATGTTCTATGGAAAAAATCCATCTGTAATTTAAATCACATCACATAAATACGCCGGTGCAATCCGAGGACGGTCACTGTGTCTGAGAAAACAAAAATCTTGAAGGCCCATTTGTTGATTTTTAGACAGCTGAGGGCAGAATAACTCCACTACTAACCCAAAGCCCTGACATAACGGCAGCTATGGAAGCTGTGTACTGTGTATATGTTAGCCAAGAGCTGCCTATTTACACATGCATAAAGCTACGTGATGACTAAACATCTCACAGTCCTCATTTCTTTTTGTTAGAGAGCTTAAACGTCTATTTAACCGACGGACCTTTGACTTTGTTTAACAGTCTGTAAATGCTGCCATGTGAAAAACGTGCGTCACATAAACCTACTTTTTGGAGTGCGGAACTGCACGGGCTCAGACATGGGGCCCATGCCTTTTGAGTTTCGGGCCTGAATCTTGAAGTAGTAGGTGGTGTCCAGCGTTAGCTCCTGGATCTGGTGAGTCAGACGATTGCCCACCACTGGTTCGATAACCCAGTCGTGGACCACGGCGTTTACATCTGTACTATAGTAGATGATATAGCCTACAAAAGAAGACGCCAAGAACAACGAGCAATTGTTTAAAATGTAGTTTTAAAGTAAGATCACGGATATTGTTTTTATTCTTAAGAGCCCCAACAGGAGAGCATGAGTGATGCATTTACATACTTTTCTGAAGGATATCTACTTTTACAGAAAAAATATCAGTCTGCAGCTGGGTGATCAGACAGCTCCCAGACATATTCACAATCTGCACATCAATTCTTCACCTAAATGTGAGTCCATTGCAGTGCAGAGATGCTACAAAATGGTCAAAATAATAAGTAGTGAGAAATCTGTGTGAAGGACAAGAGAGGCTTTGGGGCTCACCAGTGATTTTTCCATTGGCCTCAGAGGGAGGCTGCCAGTTGACAATTATGGTGCGTGGTTTGTTCTCTTTGCTCACCACAGTCACATCCTTCGGGGCGGAGCTGGGAGCTGTGACAGGGATGGAGACGAGACATTGTTCGAGCTGATGAGAAGGTTAAATAACACACGTGCACATGTTCCTACTACTAACTTTCATTTCAGGATATAAATAAAATGTGGAAAGTTTTATGCTGATAGTATTCCCCCTGGACTAAAAAGCTACAGTTTTTATATACTATACTTGTGTGTGTGAGTGTGTTGATGATGCACACGCACACAATAGCATCCATTTCCTCAGCTGTGAGACAAACCCCGGGTGGGCTGAAATAAAAACGCTGTTCACCTTTCCTTTAGAAAACTCAAAAATATTTATGCAAGAGATTAAAAGAAAGTGTTCGTTTTTTTTAGTAATCTCAAAGCAGGTTATTATTTTTTTAAATATTATCTTTTTTTTTGGCATTTTGCCTTTATTTGATAGTGATAGTGGAGACAGACAGGAAAGCAGAGAGGGGGTAGGAGACGCAGCAAAGGGCCCCAGGTTGGATTCGAACCTGGGCCACTGGCTTCTGGCCATATGGTTGCCTGCTCACCCACAGAGCTAAAGTCGTACAGGTACTGAGAGTTTGCTTGTTGGTTGATTACCTGTTAGGTATGCAGCCAGCTTTTTAAAACAAACAAACAAACCCACACACACAAAGGGAGTTTATGGCTTTTCAAACAGGCTACCCCTCCTGAATGAAAGACCAGCCAAAAGTAGTCTAAGGGAGACTGACTGTCCATGAATTTTTTTACTGCTCTTCAGGCTGAGACACCTGCTCCAGAGTTTAATATAAACTGTATTTCTATTAATATTATTACATTTTGGAAGAATGGTTAGTCCCTACCTACTCTCCTTAAATTATCCTAATTAGGGCTGAACGATATATCGCATTTGCGATAATATCGCGACATGATCAAGTGCAATTTTCTAACCGCAAAGGCTGCGATTATACTCTGGACATGTCCAAATTCATGGGCTGCATCCTCCTGAGGCCGCATTTGTAGACCGATTACGTCACAGCGACGCGCCGAAGGCTGTCCAAATTACTACCATATCCCAGAATTCATAGCGCGGCCCAGCCAAACTCCAGTTTCCAGCAATGGCGGCCGCTACTAAGTTTTAAAATTACTCATACTAATCTTTCTGGGTCACAAAATAAACTTTTAACATATTTTCAGGCGAGAAAGTAGTGTGTAAACATCAAATATCTGCTCGGTTTATCAAGATATCCCATATTTGCAAAAGTGCTTCGACGTTTTCAGAGGCGTCTGCTACCCACCAGCTCGAGCTCGAGGGTTACTGATGCGGCCGAGAACGGCACAACTCCCGGCACATCATTTTCAGATCACCGCGGAGTTTCGCTGCTCGGGTTAAACGTAATATATAAGTCACTTAGACAACCTAAAAATGTTATTGTTGGGCTTTTTTCAGTGTTTTGTTTGTTCGTGAGTAAATCGGTTTGGCTGAGATTAAAGTTATTAGATTAGATAAAATAAAACTTTATTAATCCCCCGGGTGGGTTCCTCCTTGGTTTTCACACAGCTGACTAAACGTCAAACAGAAAACTTATTAAACAGAAGTATGAGACAGTCGAGAATTTACACCAGTGTCTGGTTATATTTTAGATAGCAAGAAGCAGACGGCCGAGTTTATTAAACTCCACCGAGACAGCGGTGACGCTAATCAGAACTAGCGCTAGACCGTCCAATTTCACGCCTTTAAATTTTAAAGGCGTGTTTGTGTGTGTGTTTATACAATTGCTATTATGTTTGCACTTTATGTGTAATGTTACTGACTGCAGAGATCAGTAAGATGTGTGTATTTTTTATTTATTAGTTTTATTTATTTAATATTATTTTTTAATTGAATGACTGTCTAGTAGTTCACAGATGTCGAAAAACTGAGTGTGGTAAAGCCACTGATTTTTTTTATGTATATTTCTGCAATCTGCACATTGTACTGACTTTCATTTTAATGTTTACACCAGGGTTCCTTGTCAGCACTTTATGCTCAGATGTTTGTAAGCTAAAAATAAACTATTGTGTATGTTCAAATATACTGTTGTGATTGAAGAAGTTAAATAAAAATGTCAGTCATCAATTCATGCATCACCTCATGTCATCATAACAGAGGTCTGTCTTCCAGGAAAGAACAGTTTAAAATTAATGTAATATAGTATTGGCCATACTATATGATGTATTGCTTGTCTTTGTTTAATAATACAGAAGACAAAGACCTTAAAAAATAATCGCATCGCAATCGCAATATTGGGGCAAAAAATCGCAATTAGATTATTTTCCATAATCGTTCAGCCCTACCTGCAATTAATCCCCAACTTTGCTGCAGTTTTCCTTAATTTCTATTTTAGTTACTTTTCACTGTTTGGGTTAATGGCAGTCTTTGGTTTTTACTGGACTACACTGTGGAGTCGCAGCTTGCTTGATAATCTTCAAACATTGCCCCTCCTCCTTCCTTGGTTGGCAAGAATTACAATGTCACTCCTGAGCCAGCCAGGGGGGCTCGTTACACCGTAGGTGTCGTGTTCGTGTCTTTGTACTCATGTATGTGCTGTGTGTGTTTATGCGCGGTTGTTTGTGTCTGCGTGTCTGCAGTGCTCCTACTGGTCTCAAAGGTGGTGCCCTGGGCTGTCATGCTCCATGTGCTGACACGGCGGCCTTTGGTCACCATGACGGAGAATTCGTACAGCGTGTTGGGCTTCAGATCTGGCACCGTGTAGCTCAGGTTGGTGGTGTTGACCATCTGGGGAAAAACGAGCAAAAGCGGCAAACAAGAAATCAGTTTGTGAGACGGCAGAGCCGCCGAACAACCCTGGAAACTGTTTTCCGGCAGAGAAAAGAATAGAGCTGTGTGATTTTTACTAACTGAATTACACCTGCAGATGTCTTGCTTTTCCAGACTAACAATCCAAACACTAAACACGTCATGTTTCAATCTCAGAGAGAACAAAAACATTCACGACTGAGAAGCTGAAGCAAGGCGGCGTTTCAGAATCATTTAAATGCTCCTTCAAGTATAAAACCAGCTCCACAGATCAGTAAGACCTGTTTTAGTTCTAAAATAAATTACCAGTGTGAAGCATTCACATTCATGAGGCATTATGTGCACTATCCAGTGTTTGGAACCACATCCTTTCCATCTTTTGATGGTTTCAATCATGTTTATACGAAATACTCAGTTTTCACTTTATTAGGTACGCCTTGCTAAAATGAGCACGGTCTGATGAGGTATTAATTCAACCTCACAGTTACAGCCAAAACAGGGCCTATTTACATCATTGAGAGTAAATATGGCAGGTAAACAACAAAAGCAAAAAAAAAACAACCTGTCAATTTAAAAATAAATTACATTTTTAACCACCAACTAATATCCTGAACATTAAAACCTTCATGAAGTGGGGTTTTATTGCAAGACTTTTGCAATGGACTGAGTGCACAGTGCCACAAAGAAAGTGCATCATTTACAAAACATCTGTATACGTTATTAAGCGCTAGTGAACTATTTAGAATCTGAAGTTACGCAACATTTATCTCGAGCTCCACTGGGATGAACCAGCATGAGAAAAAAAGTAGTCGTAGCAGCACAGAGTCAGGTTCTCCAGTGTCCTGTCTATAATGTTGCGTGCTATGGCAGAAGTGCAGCTCTCCATTGGGGGCTGTCAAACAGAGGGCAGTAGGATAGGAAATGAAAACACCCTGTTCTTTAGAACCATGCAGCCTGTTAGAGAGCAGTCATCCCTTCAATAATGTACAAGCGTGTCTGTGGACTTGCACTAAGGGAGGCATTAAGGTGAAGGCTTTACTGCTGGTATACCTCTTGAGTACAGCTATGTTTACATACACGATGTACTGTAAAGTTTCAGAGCCTCTCTAATAGACATCATAATATATTAGATTGGTGATGAGCCTCAGTGACACAAAATGTTTTAAGCATCCATTCATGGCAGCAAGCTGAGCAGTACTCCATATACTGTATCTGTACTGTTGTGGATTTACATTGTGTTAATGAATCTGCTGTGTAACAAGGCATCGCTCAAATTCTCCCTCCATTTCACTTTGAGTGACAACAAACCTTTGCAGTTCAATGGAAGCCTCAAACAAAAAACACTGGGTGCCAGCATCCGGTGCAAGACCTGGATACTGAGTCTCCGTACGTTTGTGCATACACCTTTCAAGGTGGCGGTATGGAGAATGCACCGTCAGATCTACGCCCTCTTTTTCTAGTTCTCAGTTCGCCTCGTCCTTGTTGAATAATTTATCGGGAAACACGGCCCGTATCTGAGCTCTGCTCGGTCACAGGTTTGCACACATGCATGATACAAGGACCACACACACACACCCAAATAACACACACACACACACCACACACACACACACACACACACACACACACACACACACACACACACACACACACACACACGCTGCGCTCTATTATTTGGAGATAAGTAATCATCATAATTGAGCTGCAGCTCAGGAATTGGAATCGGAATCTCAAACAGCCTGTTCAAGGCTCGGCTCACAGTCACTACAAATATTTTAACTCTTCAGAGAGAGTGCCTCTTGATTTGCATCTGTTGGACACTAATCCCAGTAAATAAATGTAAGATTCTCATGTGGTGTTCTTCACTGATGAAGAACTATTGTTAGGATTTTGTAACAAACCAAAACAATTTTTTTTTTTAACACAGGAAAATCTGCTTGTTTAAATTCCTCAAATGAAGTTTAGCTTAGCTGAGCTGTTCAAGTACAATCACTCACTATCTTTGTATACATCTCTTGACATTGTTACTCCCTCATTTTCATTTCTCATGTTCATGACTATTTGTTTGGCCACTTACGTTTGCAATCCTGCCAGTCCTTGAACTGCTTCAACTCAAAGGGTGCTGTTCAAGCGATTAATTGATTAATCCAATTCTGTGCCAGTGTCTGTTAGTTTCGGGATCTGCCTTAACCACCTGCTTGATTTAAATTTTACAGGAAATGCAGCATCATATGATCCAGTGTTTGCTTTCACCCTCGCCCTTTGCTGATCGCTCTTCTGAGTCATTCTAAGTTAAGCTATTGCTAACTCAAACTAATATCTCAATGAATCAGCTTTTTTAAAACTGAAAGGAGTGATGGAGCTGCACACGTCTGACTTCCTATGGACGTAACTGATCAACTTTTTGTATTTTCATCCAGCGCAGAAAGGAATCAGACTGTAGCTGCTTGTGGAAAGATGGGGGGAAAACCAGTTGCTGACAGGCTTCTTTATGAAAGGAACATGAGTGTGTGAGGCTGCACTGTAAACAAACGCACCAGCTGCTCTTCTGCTTGACAAAGTAGCTGCTAAAGGACTGTTTACTCCAGCCATTGATAACACAAAGACTTCTACTCAGAATCCAGCTGTTTTAAAAAAAAAGCTAACTTCATGTAAGACACTAACGAGCAGGACGACCAATCATGTAAGAGCAAGTTCTGAGTTCTGATGATCATAAAAGTGCAGAGCATCAGTTCCTCTTTATAGCCCTTCAAAGGTTGAATGAAAACAGATCATCACACTGGTACAAATACCATGCTGCCCCCGAGCTTGGGAGCTGCTGTGGGAATACTTAATTATATATGCCCTCATATGACATCACTTTTTATTTTCAGCGCATCAATACGAATATGAAGGGATGCACAGAAATAAACTGAAATCGTACTATATTGCTGCATCACTAATGTTTGGACACAGCGATCTGATTTGACTTGTTCTCTGTGCTAAATGTGTTGCTTATTTGAAAGCGTTGAACTGAACCAGAAACAGCTGAATGAGCTCCAAAGATAAAAAAAAACAAAAACAATAAAAGTCTAACTAAACCTGCTTTGGTTAAAGAACTGATGTCGAATTGTAAATCTGATAAACTGAATGCAATCATGCGAAAGAAGAATCTCTTACCTTCACTTTAGTGTTGGCAGGGATGTTGGTCTTCCATCGCACTGTGTAGTAGCGGTTATCTGTGACCTTTTGGCTCTTGGGCAGCGAGTTGTCGGCCCAGGTCACCTTGATGGTGTCGTGGCTCAGCACCGACGCCTGAACGCCCACCGGCGGCATCATGGGGAGAGGGTCTGGTACTGGGGTGTATGGAGCATGTAAGAGGTCGTACAGGTCAACATCGGGGTCTACAGGGTCAGGGCATCAGGCCATAAAACCCAACATGCATGCGCACAAAAAATTAAAATGAGCAAATTAAAACGGAATGTGAAGCGTGGTGGATCAGACAGTGGAGCCAAAACAGGACGTGGGGAGGGACGCAGAGGAAGAAATAAGGTTAATGCGTTAAAAATGCAGGACGATGGTGAGGGAGGAGGGGGAGGAGGGGGAGGTGGATGGTTAAGTGCAACAGGGATGGGATTGGGAAGGGTGAAAAGAAGGAGAGAGAAGATTCTATTAGAAAAACAGACACTGACCTCTACAATAAGACCAATCTACAGAAGCTACAGTACAGTATGTGCTGCTCTATCAACTGTAGCACTACGGAAAGAGAGGAAGAGATACTCTATTCATTAAGAAAAGATTACAGTAAATGGAAAACCGGAGTGAAAGAAGACACCCGTAATCCCGCTGCCAAAAGTTACATATTAATGTCAACCCAGTCATTTCAAAGAAAGAGTCAAAACGCATTTACAGATGTTTACATCATGGAGCTTTTACAACATTTTAAAGCAAAGTGGATGAACAGACGGGACACTGAGTGCCCAGGAATATCTTCCCAGAGAGCTGCCGAGAAGGCGCATTATGTTCTTGAAAACTGAAGGAGGAAAACTGAGGATTTAAGGAAGAAGCCTGGAGGCACAGAAGAGGGGAGAGACACTAACAAATGGTCCTGTGGTTGAGGGCTTGTGTCATATTGCTGCTTTTGTTGTGCGGCTCAAAGGTGGAAAGCTTGCTGCGAGAGGGCGAGGTTGGTTGCTCCCTACTTCCAGTTGCAGTCCCTCTTAGAATCAATGCTAGATAATGACTTGTATGCTCTTTTAAAAATATACAACTGAAAATATATGTGACCAAACATCTTTAAAAGTGTTAGATTCAGACAGTCAGCTTTGTGTTTAGCGCCTTTACTTAATATGGGTCATTTTATACTAGGATATACACTCACCAGCCACTTCAATAGGTACACCTGCTCAACTGCAGGCAATCACATGACAGCAACTCAATGCTTTTAGGCATGTAAACAAGATAAAGAGCCCCCACCCCAAAAAAAACAAAAAAAACAACAAAAAAAACAAAATGTGATGCTCATCCTGAGTATTTCAGAAACTGCTGAGTTTACAGAGATCAAAGGAGAGTGAGCCGATTGCCCAGAGCTGATAGAAAGGCAGCAGTAACAGTACTCCTAGCACTGATTACAACCAGGGTGTGTGAAGAGCATCTCTGAACACACAACGTATTGAAGCAGATGGGCTACAGCAGTGAGGACCACACACTTCTCCCACTAAGAACAGGAAACTGAGGCCATGGTTCTCACAGCCTGACCAAATTTGGACAGTAGGACACTGGAAAAAACGTTATGAGGTTTATGAGCCTCGGCGGCTGATGCGACATTCAGACGGATGGGTCAGAATTTGTCATAAAGGTGGGGGAACAGCAGATTGGCAACTGTGTGATGCCATCATCTTAACAGCATACAGGACTATGGTCGTTCCGGCACCTTTCCAAATGCGTGTCAACAGAATTAGAGCAGTTTTGAAGGGAAAGAGGGTCTAACCATTACAAGTGTGATGTACCAAATGAGTGTCCGGTGAGTGTATGTGTGGTGCATTTTGGAGAAATGCATAGATAATTCAGTAAAAAAACACAAATACTTGAATACTAACAATATCATAATACTACTGTCTCTCCAGTTTGCACAATTCTCAGCAGTACTCAACCAGAGGTAATTAAGTAAAAGCTTCCATAGTGTAATATTAATATCTTTTTAAATGTTGAGTGGGGTTCAAACTAAGGGTCCAACAGGCAGCTGCTGGCCATCATGCTGAATGATAAACACTTTAAGATGACCTCGTGGCCGGTGAATTCACTGCTCACAGCTCTGTCCTTGGTTTAGCTGTGACTGGAGAAAAAGCTCTGGTCCGTCACCCGTGATGACACTCCTCCTCAGCCCACTTGTTGGCCCTCTACTCTCTGCCTCGCTCCATTTGATGCCTCTGTACATAGCTGCCCTCATTATACGCCCAAGACTGAGTCACAGAGTTTGTGTGTGCGTGATGAAGCTCCAAGCATTCATGCGGCTGTGGAGAGGCACTGAGGTTTTGGAGTGGCATGCAAGCTACATTTCTTTACCCAGGCTGGAAGAATACAGCGTTCAATATTGTGAAGGAGAAAAGGCTGACTTGCCCTTGTGGAAAAAAAAATCTTTTTGAAATAGAGGTGAAATATTTCATTTCCTGCTTTTCAGTTAAGCGTCGTATTATAAAGTATTCAGCCTAGCACTTTCTCAACCAAAGTTCACCAAGTTTTCCTCAGTTTTTTCCAAAAGTAAAAGTACTATGTAGGTCAGCTTGTCTTTTTAATCCCGACTTGAACAAACTGGCAGGAAGGGAACGCGCCCCCGAGGATTCAGCAGCAGACGATGGTGGTGGGCTTTGGTTCTGCTTTGAGAGGAAACGTTTGGATCTGACGAAGGGTTGCCAAAGCCACCACAGGGGGTCTGCGTGTGCGCAGCTCTGTATGTGAGTGTGTATGTGAGAGGATGTGAGGAAGCGTCATAGAGAGAAGGGTACAGTATGACAGCGTGCGAGTGTGTGCGCGCACTCCGGCTGCCACCCCCCCTCGACGCATGTTGACGTGATTCATGTCATCCAGCATCCCACCCCTCCTCAATTGGTTGGTGCAATAGTGCTGCAGCAGAGACAAACTGGAGTGATCAAGGCTGAGCGGAGAGGTGGGAGGCTGGATGGGAAAAGGAGGCGGGTGCAGCCCACATTCTGGGACACCCCAGGGTGCATGGGCTGGCTGTCTTCTGACACTGTCACATAATCTGTGTGAACTCCACGAACATGCAGTCTAACTGGCAGTGCCTCACGCTTTAAGATCACTTGTCAAGCACCCAGGATTGGGACTTAAGTCCTACTTTTAATTGTGTGGCTGGCAGCCTAACAGGACTGTCCATATTCTGCGGCTGTTTTTAGTCTGCAGCACAGAGAAAACTGCGTCTCAGAGTTCGACTGATGCTGGATATTTCAGGTCAGTGCTGACGTCTGCCAAAATCCCATTACGCTAACATTGCATAATGAACATTTGTGATGAGGCTCTTTTGAAGTCGGTTATGAAAGACTTCATACAAACTTGTCGCTGCATAAAATATTCTTCTTTTGCCTGATGAAGGTTTTTTTCCTTCTTTACTTAAAAAAAAAAAACCTCAAGTAAAGCTTCTGCCGTTCATCCTGGTTAAAATATCCATAATCACTCTCACATCAGGACTGATAGTCTGGGATAAAAAAATTAAGGGGTTTGCTCACTTGATTAAAAAGAGACTCAAGTATTCTGGGGGCCATGATGAAGAGAGTTAATTAGAGCAGTGAGACTCCCCGATGACCCATTATCTGTCTGGTAATTTGAAGTCGAGACACATTTTTTCTGATAATGACGGCGGATTAGAGAGAGCGAATAACTGTAACTCAGAATTATTATTTTTTTTACAGCCACACGGTGCAAGGAGCACTGCTCACATTACATGTGATCTGAAGAACAACAAGATGAAGAGACTAAATGTGACCACTTCAAATGTTGCCTCTGAGCGCTTCAAGGTGTAAGAAATCCACTATCGCTTCAAATAAGAAAAGCCATTCGACATGTGGATGTGTCTGGTTCCTACCTGACTGTGCTCTGGTGACGGCGCTCTCGTACACGGGAATGCCTTCACCCACGTTATTGAAGGCTTTTAGTGTGATCACGTAGTGGGAGCTGGGGTCTGTGAGAGAAAGAGAAGGATGGGGGGAATAAATTGATGCAGCCATCTCATCAACCAAAACTCTTGAGACGCTCAGCTCAGCCATTATAATAGAGACCTCAATTATGCACATATACAGTACTGTGTAAAAGTCTTGAGCCAACCCTCATCTCTTTACATGTTTCTTCTTCTATCAGATGGACCAGCTGAAAGGCCAGGTGTATGTTTGGTGGGTCTTTGGCGGATTTGATCTCTTAAAACATGATTCAGATGCAGTTCATTGGCTGAAGTCTAAGAAAAGCATCTGGACTTTTCACCTCTCATCGAGGTGAAAAGTCTTGAAGACACTTTTCTTTCCAAGCTCCTTAGACTGCGTCTGCTGCTTCTTTTAACCCAACTAGTCCAGTTTTTTTCAAATGTTTTCTGTTTTAGGGACACACTTCACACCAGCTAATATTCAGCTAATAGCCCTTTGGGATTCACATTGTTGGGTCAACAATACCATTTCAAGTATGTCAAACTGTGTTATCTTTGGCATTTTTCACAGATTCTACTAAAGAAATAGGAACAAATTCTGTGTTTTTGTGACAGGCTGCTAAGTAGCAAAGTGCCTAAAGATACAATGTAAAATTTGTTCTTCACCAAGTCATCTGCTATGTGTAGACACAACGCTGATCCATTCCTTTAGTTAGGTGTCTTTTGTATGCTAGAATGATTCATAAGTCAGTGTTAAGTGGCTTAACAGATGAAACTCTGAAAATGGTCAGGTTCAAGGGATTGGACTAAAAATCACTGAAAATAAATTGATGTCCAAATAAAAACTGTGAAAGGCCTTCAGAAAGCCTCATTGGAAGAAAAATAGGAAGAAATGGTTGAAAAATTCCTCCCTGTGTCTCTTTTTTCTATCCATCTTCTAGGCCCCCTTACTACAGCATTTAGACAGTGATCAGCTGTGGCAGTAGAGTGTGATGATAGAGTGTGATGCGCATTATATACTTAGAAGAACAAAAAAAAATCAAATGTTTCTTGAACGGTGGTTCTATCAGAGCAGAGCTTCCTGAGGTTTAAAAGGAATTAACTTTAATTTCATCATGTAGGTTTTAGAGTCAAATACAGTTTGTGTGAGCTTCCCAAAGGCTGCATTGATCACATGTGGAGAAATGGCCCTCATGCAAAAGAAGAAGCAGAACATTTTAATGAGGTAAAACTGGTTTGATGACAGCGAGTGCTAAAACCACCAAATATTTTATTCAAATATCATGACCTTTAATTATTGTGTGCCCATTAGGCCAATCTGTATAATTAGCAGCTCAGGCGTGTGGTGGAGAGGATCTTATTAATTCTCTAAACACTCACTGTGGGGTACAGATGAATTAATTCAGTGCTTGTGCGTCTGCCTGTGTGTTTGCTTATAATACACAAACCATTAATTAAACTTGGCGTATAAAGTATCACATCAAATAGATCACATTAACATTTTGTCTGATAATGATTTGACACGTGAATCGTTAGTATTTGATCCTTATGTGTAACTATTTTGGGGACAAGAATGTGCACACATCTATACAAAAAGCTGAAAGAAACACATGTGAAAAACAAAAAGGGAGCGACCGTTTTTACCGAGGTTCTCGATAGTGAAGTAGCGCTGCTTGTAGTCCACCTTGATGGTCTGCGCGTGTGGACTGCCGATGCCGTAGCCAATCGCGTAACCGCGCACCATAATGTCCTGGTTCTCTGGCGGCGTCCAGCTCACCACGATGCTGTTGACCAGCGGCCGGACGTGCAGTGAGCTAGGCTGGTCCGGAACACGGGACTCTGATGGGGGAGAAGCAGGAAAAACTTCAGATGAGGAGGAAAAATAAATGTTAAAATAAATAATTGCTCAAAACCAAGTGACAGCTTCCGGTTTAGTAAAACAGCTGACGTTACCATCCAAGTCGCTCTCAAACGTCTCTGCCGTCATCCACTCGGTGGCCGGTCCCGTGCCATTTACCGTCATGGCTGACACTCGGAAGGAGTACTCTGTTCCATGCTCGAGACCTGGACGGCGACACCAACACATCAGCCTGAGATTCCAAGCTGGAGTATTTAAATAGAGCTTTGGCCAAAATGACCCCCCAAGTCAACTCCTCCATTAAAACCTCTCTCAGTCCTGGTTTTACTACTGGTGCGCTCTGATTGGCTGGGTCAGTTGGGCTTTCAATAACACAAATATTTTAAAGCAGATACCTGATACGTCTCTCCACGGCTTAAGGAGAAAATCCATAACTCGCCTAATCTATATTAAAGTTGATTACATTTTATTTTCACATCTGATGAGTACGATTCAATGGGATTTGAAGAAAAACACAACACTAGCCTTTAAAACAAGTTAAAAAGAGAGTGTCTGATAAAAAGTAGCACAAAACGAGAGACACTAAGAGCAGAAGTTTAAAAAAACATGGTAGTCTGGATTAATTCATATTTTAAAGCTATATCTCCCTTAGAGTGAGCTGCAACACCGCTGGGTGCCAGCTTTGGTATTCAGAGAAGAGGGGAACGCCTGCTGACAAATGATGTGTTGCTGTATTAATTTGCTGCAAAATTTTTCATCATCGCCGTATTGTCCCATTTGCACGCTACATGCTAATCCTGTACTCTCTTCGCTCTGTACCCACTATTCTGGGCCGCCCTTGGGGGTAGCTTCTGAAGACTGCCTAACCATCCGTGCCTCCGAGGCTACAACATCTTCTTCTAAACGCTTCTGAACCAACAAACACCCCTGTGTCCCCCCCCCCACAGAATGTTCTACAAAAATCAACTTTTAAGTGTATATTCTCTTTGATGCAGCACACAGCGTGAAGCCGGGCCACTTGAAAGTTGCTGAGGCGACATCTAATATTAATCACCGCTGCCGTGCCTCTCTTGTGATATTGTGCATATTTTGCTGATAGCGGTGGGTAATGTTAGGGTACAATAGGACATGTAACTCAATTGCAATGGGTTTAGAAACTGATGTGTGGATGTTGAGTAAATAAACAGGCCCGCAGTTAGTCTGACTAATCCCATGAATCATCCGATACGCATCTTCAGGCTCAAGATAAGAGATTTATAAAAAAATTTTTTAAAGAAAATCCTGCACCCCATCAGACACAGCTCACACTTTCCAAGACGCATCAGATAAAGATACTAAAATATAGAGATGACATGGAGTCTGATAGCATAAAAGTTTGAGCTTAGGGCTCAGTGAAAACGTCAAAAAGGGGAATTCTTTGTGGATCCATCATTTTAAAATCTGATTCGATATGTAACTCTATGCATCTGTATCACTTTTGGGCTTTTAGACGAGGGCATAAAACCATCACAGTGATGTCATTGTTTTTGTGTACAGCTCTAAAAACACCCTGCAGACGTGCACAGTGATGCATGTGTCCATAACTGTACAGCAAAGTCTTTTGCTCACAGCACTGCCTGTTAAGAAAACTGTTCATGTCTCCTCTCCAACTTGTCTTTGCACTTTTTTATCTGGTGATGGGATGACTTTTCGTAGCTGCAGGGCGTGTATAGCTCTAAATGATCCGTCTTTCAAACCCGGTTCTGAACCTGCGTATCCAGGGTGGTTTGGAGACTTTGTTTTCAAATTGGGTTAAAAGGCCAAGCACATACAAGAAACAATTTACTAGCAGATGTGAACTATGGTGGCTCTCTTCCCACACCTGAACACCCACTGAATATAACTGGAGGTAAAGTTTATAGCTAAACTCTTCCTGTACACATGGTAATAAATGCAATACATTCATAAGCACTTCCACTGGTCTGAGGGAAGAGGACGGATTTATTCAAAAAGTCATTAGTCACAATTTTTTTATTCATTACCATCCATGAGCTTGTAAAGCTGGGTGCCTTCAGTGGTTTCAGATTCGCTCCTGCGGGATCCTTTCCGGTATCGTATCTTGTAGCCGGTGATCTTCCCGTTCTGGCCGCTCAGGGGCGGAGGCTGCCACCGAAGCATGATGCTCTGAGACGGGGAAAGGTGTAAATGAAACAGAATGTCATGTTTAGCACGTGCTTTTGGGGCCTGTAGCTGTAAAGGTGACCTCACAGTTTAGCAGGCAGCATCGCACCTTCCCACGCACCTTGGCGTGGACCTTTGTGTTAACAGTGTCACCGCGGTCCAAACAAGAGGGAGACCCACATCGAGCAAACACCCCCGTGAGCGCGAGAGACGCAGCGCAAACAGATGCATTAGGAAGAGATGACTATGAATAATAAAAGTTGCGATGATAAGCGAGGTGTGTGGTCAGGTTAAGCCTGCAGAGACACTGAGGCAGAGAGATGAAGGCAAGACGCTCTGCTGGCGGGCCCACGCTGCACTCTTTTGGGATGTGCGCTGCTGAGTTTTTGTGTGCCCATGTGTGTTTAAAGAGATAGGTGGGGGGTGGCTCAGCGTGGGAGAAGAGTTAATTAACGCTTCCCCACTGTCACACTGATGCACAAAAGCCCGAGTACACGCACAGGGCACGCGTGCGCTCCTCCCCAGCAGAGTCGAGGGAATTGCACAAATTAAATTTGTGTGAAGTGTGTTCAATTATTTCCATTTTTCTTATTACACTATCGGCCCCGGCTCGTCATGTCTGTTGCGTTTCTACCTTCCTGGCGCTAATCACAAAAAACAGTTTAATTGACTTTTGTAAACTCACAGGGGAAGGTGAAGAGGCTGATGCCAAAAGCAAAAAAATACAACAACAACAAAAAAAACAGAGAAGTAAGATCAGAAAACACGATGATCAGGTTGCCTCGTAGGTGAAAGATGCACCTTTCTGCGTGACAGGACCCAAAGAGGAGACCACACATGAAATGAATGTTAATTAGCTCTTTTCCACTTTGGTTGGGTGTACCGAACTAATTGCATAAATGGTTTGTATCTAAATAATTGTACTGTAATTATTCTTTTAATGGCTTGTTTACGCTCAAAGTGAAAGACAACGACAACAAAAAGAGAAAATGAGATGAATTACTGAATGACACTTAAAGGGAAAAAAAGAAGAAATCTGTCAGATGTTTGTTTCACAGCTTTAAACCGCTTGGTCCGGGCCAAAGTGAGGAGGGACAGCTGGCCTCACGCACACTATCCTCTCAGAAAACTATTCATGTCCCTTCCACAGACTGAGCCCGCTTCATTTTACTCTTAAAATTAGCATGAGAGCATTTTCTCTCTACAAATCTCAGCAGAGGATCCCTCAGCATGGGTGGCTAGCTCTAACTCAGGCTGGGAGTGTGTGATAGGATTGTGTCAGTGTTTTCCCTCACTTGTGCTAAGCATCGACCCGCAAAGGGCCAAAAGTGCTGGTTGCCGTTTTTGTAGTCAGTGCACACACCCCGAGGTTTTCCCTATCTCTTCTTTTTTTCTTTTTGCAATTGCTGTCTCACATGTCATGAGTGAGAAACATCTTTTGTAAAAATTAATCCCTCACTCGGGTGGGAAAGTACAATAAACAGGCCTACAGCTCTCTGTTTGAAGATCAAATGGCTGAGATGATGGGCAGCCGAGGCCCGTTTCCTGTTTTAATCAGGGGCGCGTTGTGCAGCCAGCAGCCACCTCAGCAGCCTTATCAAATAAAGCGCGTCACGCGAGAACTGCGGCATGTCTCGGCTGAAATAAACAGGATTTAACAATGAAACTTAAAAAGACTGAGAGGATGCCAGGACTTGTTGGCTGAGCTGTGGGGGAAAAAAGAAATTGATCCAGTTATCTCTGCTCCAAAGAGAAAATTGAATCCAGATAAAATGAGATCTCACTTTTAAACAAGTAAATCTTTTTATCACGTTGCCTATAAGCCTGCTAACAAAACAAAAAAAAAGGTGAGTGAGAAAGTGAGATCTCTGTTACAGAGGGTGAATTGGAAACTGGTAAGTCATCACACTTCTAACCGTTTGCACTTAATGAACCGATATTGGTTGAAAAGTTAACTTTTCCAACTTACATTCATTATGAGTTGTGTTATGTTGGGTTTCAACTAGATGTCTAACTTCATTCGACCTATAAATTCTACCTGAGTATCAGTTTTAGTTAGGCTGCATCTTCCTGTATCCTATCAGATTTGAGCTGTAGGCTCCCGTGCCAGTTTCTGTACGGATGGAGTGATACTGAGGATAAAACCTTCTGACAGGCGAGTCTCCTGCCGACGAGAAGATCGATGAGGGTTCACACGCCCTCTTAACCAGCTGGGGCTACAAGGATCTGACGCAACTAATAACACAGCAACAACGGTGCACTGGCCTGCGGGCTATGTATCTGTTCAACTGTTTGTGTGCGCGAGTAAGCGAACGAGCGGGTGGGTGAAGGCGGATTTGCTCAAGCAAACACATAAACACAATTGCTATAAAACAAACAGTCTGCAGGCAGTTTAGGTGTACCTGTAGCTTAAGTCCTCAACAAGGCAACAGAGAAACCTAAACAAGTTAAAAGGTCCGTTGACGCTCCCTTCAGTCAAGACAAATAAACCTCACCTTTGAGTTATGGACCTCGATGGTCAGGTTTTGAGGCGGGGCACTTGGTACTGTGGAAAAATGAAAACACCAACAATTTGTTAGTGTAAAACTAAAGAAAACATAGAAATCTACATTTTGGCAGAGCTCAAACAATCAAGTTATTAATTAACTGGACAGAACAACGTTGTAAACAGAGCCCCATTAACTGAGAACCTCAAGTTTTGGACTGCTGATTGGACATGATGTGGAAGCCGGGGTTGTCTTCCTTCTTTCAGCCGCTCCCTTTTCTGCCTTCAAGTCACCTTATTGTTAGAATCCTGTTTCACATCAACCCTCCTTTGTCCTCCTTTGCTAAATCCACATTAGCTCCTTTAATACAGCAAGGAAACGGTGTGTGATGGCACATTTACCTCACCAGATGTATTTTATAGTTTCAATACTCTTTATACCCCAACTTTTTAAATGCTTTTGTGGTGGCTGTAGCTCAGGAGGTAGAGCAGTGATGTTTGATTACTGGCTGCTCCAGTCTGCGTGCCAAATATCCTCGGGCAATGTACTGAACCTTGAGTTGTTCCCAAAGAGTTTGAGTGTGAATGTGTGTGAATTTAAGGCAGAAAAGCACTTAAAAAAACCCCAAAACTGTTAAGTGAGACATGTTAAGCAAAAAGCTTTGAGTGCTCAAGAAGAGCAGAAAAGCACTATATAGGAACATTTCCAGTTGACATTTCAGTGGTGTTACAATAAAAGAGAAGTCAAATTAGTGTTGGTACATTTACACTTCATCAGTCCACTAACCGTCAGACAGGGTGCGAACGACAACGTCCTCAGTGGAGACGCCAGGACCGTGCCTGTTGTTGGCCACCACACGGAAACTGTACTCTGTGTTCTTCTTCAGCCCCGCCATGCTGTACGACTGGCCGTCTACGTCAATATCCTGATTGAGAAAAGGAGGGAAGGAGAGGACCTTGTCAGTGAATTGAGAATCGTGCGACTTCCCTTGCTTAAAAAGCAAACACGCCTCTACTTTCACGGCTGCTCACCGACATCTCGATGTTTACGAACAACGGGAAAAACAAAAACCGAATACGTGAAGCTTGTACGAAAAGGAAACGTTTATGATTACCTGCAGAAAAAGACAAAAACACTGATAGCACTACAGTGTAGCATTTTTATAGTATTTCACAGCCAACAGCAGTCTGATAAACGCAGACATTTAGGACCGTTCCAGTAGCTTCACAATGTGACGCCAGCCTTCATCGTTTCATCACGCTAACATTTGTGTTTGTAATTCGGTGTGAAAATGTCGTCTTCCGCAGAGACGCAATTTGTGCCTTCTGTGATTTTGACTTGCTTTGCTTTACAAATTGGGCACGCTGACACATGCCCAATTACTTCAAGCCTATTTGCATGCAGCTCTTTGGTTGTGACATTTGGAGAAAAAAAAGGCACTTGGAGGAAACTCTAATCTTGCTTCCAGAGCGGTCCATTCCTTGACCTCTGAACTTGGGTCAGCTGATTACCTCTGGCCACGTCACCCTTGAATTCGCATCATATGTTGTCCCCGTCTTCCCTCTGCCCTTTCAATATTTAATATCCGTTCAGCACTGTGTCTCTCTCTCTCAGTCCGCTTCCTTCACCTCTCCTTTACTACCACTTCTTCATCTCTCCCCCTTTTTCACCTCATCTCTGGCTCTCTCCTCCAAGGAGCTGAGGCATCATTACTCAGTGCACCAGCTGACGTTTCATCCATTATCATATTAAAGGCTTTTTAATGCCTCACTGGCTTGCACACTGCTACTGCTGGGGTTGACTCAATATCTAAGCAGCTCGATTCCACTCTTGTGACAGAGTTAGTCCTGCAGAGAAGCACCAAGTGAATCATATCTGCTTTCTTTTAGCACAATGCCCTGCTGTTTCTGTGAGACGATGAATCATTAAGAACGCCGCCAAAAATCAGCACAAAGGGTCTTGGCAAATGATTAGGGATTCTTACCTCATCACAATTTGTATGAGAAACCAATCAGTTGTACGCATTTTATCTAATGGGCCCTGCGAAATCAGGCATCAGCTTCACACACTATGCCTCGCTCACAGGGTAAACTGTGAGCAGTGAGCACACGCTGCATCTGTTTAAAGTCTGCGCTTATTTCAGGTGATTTAAGCAATTTATCACCGATAAAAGAAAAGCAAAACACAAAGACGACGTAGCAAAGCAAGCGGTGTGACATATGTTTCAGGACAATCTTGTTTAGAATTAAATAATAAAAAAAACCAATCATGCAAATCTTCAATTTTACTTTAATTTTCGACTTATTTCTCCGATTAATGTGTTTTTAATTCATTGGTTTTTAAAATCTATTGTGAAGCACTTTGTAGCTTCATTTTAAAAGATGAGCTGCAATTTAAGGCAAAAGGTTTTGGACACCTGTTTATGTCTTTGCTACCTGCAAACCTTTGAATTCAAAAAAGTCTTCGCTAGGCGCTCGAGCAGCGTGAGTTTGTCCCTGGAGTGTGGTTCACGCCCTACCTGCTCTTTGCCGACGCTCTTGTCCGTGTAGTACAACTTGTACGAGAGGATCTCTCCATTGCCAGTGAGGGGTTTGTCCCAGCTGAGAGAAACGGAGGTCGGCGTGTTGGACACCCCCTGCAGGTTAGGAGCCGGGCCGGGTACTTGGACTGGTGACGAAATATCACAGGTGGACAGAAATTAGAAAAGCAGCAAGTGTGAGCATTTTGTTCTCTTATCTTGAACCGTTCTTCATTTTTATTGTGTCTCATCTGGGAGAAAGAAACTAATTTAGCAATTCCTTGTTCTTACCACCTAAGACATATTCTTGGCTACCTCACAGTCACATTTCCCAGCGCTAACACTGACGCCAAATTGTCCCCCTCTGGACTGGGCTGCCAGCGTGCTGATTTTCTTCCTATTCCCAGAACAAAAGCGGAAGTTTCAACAAAAACATCAGTATGCATCTAATATCCCATCACCGCTGGGATCCTGCTACCTTTGAATGTGGTAGCCTGTTTATTGTATTGCACTTGATTAGTAAATTAAGGCAGCAGAAACAGAATGTATATTTATATGTGTCTTATCCTGGCTTCATAATATGCTGGTATACTAGATGAATATGGGATGTAGTCCACTTTTACAATTAGTGCTGAGTTATTTTTGCAGCGGGAGCTGATCTGCTACATAACTCTGGTGCAGGAGGCTATGGAGAAACAGAACTGCACTGGTTATCTGGTGCAAACGTAAATGAAAGCAGACAGGAACCTCAAACTAAATATTTCATGTAATATGCAGCGTGCTCAAAGACGCAGCTATCGTAACAAAATGTGTATCACCGTTCTAATAATCTGTGACTACACTGTGTCTACGTATATGTACATGTTACTTGTTACTTGTTGTGGCTGTACTGTGGCCCATCGGATTTAAAATCAAGCAGTGACTCTGAGGTTCAAGTGCCAGCTGTCAGACATGCTATATGTCTGCTCTGGATACATCTTGTAGACATTAGCTGCAGGTGTTCCTGCCAGAAGAAAGAAGCTCCCATTTGTTAGCGTGCACAGATGTTAGAAGGGTGAGAGACTGTGTGTGTGTGTGTGTGTGCAGGTGTGTAAAGCCCGTCTCTAAAGAGAAGTGATACAGAGGGAGTGTGGTTTGCACATGCTTGGCACTCGGATGCAGGTCAACAGTTTAAGCTCCAGTTCGTAGCATGTTCTTACATTAAAGGCGCGCACACGCGACAGAGACATACGGCACAGCTACAGCCCGCCCTCACTGCTATCCCCCTGGGTGGCTGTGCTCCTGCTGCCGGGCATTAAGATGTAGCGTGTGTGCTTTTGTGTGTTGATTCGTCCGCCCTCCAACCAAGGACACAAGTAGAGAAACAGCAGCTGACCTACAAAGTGACAGTGACTGAGCTGTAGCTTGGTCGAGAGGAGAGGGTTGTCCACAGTCTGACAGTGTGCTGGGAAATCCCCTTCACAGCACTTTCAAGTGATTTTGGAGCAGCAGCCACAGAGAGGTTTACACACTCAAACACAAAGAGAGAGAGGAGAGGAAGGGAACCACTTTGCTACTCCTTCCTACAGTCGTACTTATGTGTCCTCTATTCAAAACATCCTAATAAGTTTCTCAGTAGACTGGAAGAGGAGAGTGTTGGAATCTGGAATACTAATTTCCAGCATTCCTCACTCAAGTAGGCATGTTTTGAGCCAAACACACGGAAGATTCAAGTAAATGTAAACAAAAGTAAACAAGAAGCGGGTTAAAAGAAGAAAATGCAGTGCTTCTGTGGTCTGCTCTTGGGTGGTCTGCCTTAACGAACAGCACTAAACAGCCTTCTCTGTGTGTGCCCATGTGTGCGGGGAATATGGGATGTCTCTGTTTGAATTGAGCGTATACTGCATATGAGTGAATATTTGTTTGTGCGAATGTTTATTTGCCTCTTGTGTGCTTCCTTTGAGTGCATCCTGTTTGCATCAGTGTGAGCAGTGTGAGCACGCTTCCGACAAACTGGCTAGAGTGTGGCTTTGTGTTTATGTGTCCTGTTTACCGAGCACATATAAACGTGTGTGTGTGTGTGTGTGTGTGTGTGGAGTAAGTGAGCAAGAGTGTTACCTTCAGCTTGGGTGGCCACTTTGAGCGCTGCAGAGCTCTCGCCCTGGCCGTTGCTATTGTGGGCCACAACCCTGAAGCGATATTTGGTGTCTGGCATGAGGTTCTGGATGGTGACCTGCATCTCCCCTGGACGACTGGTATTCACGACTCGCTCCCTGATAGGGGGGGGGGGGGGGTGGGGGTGGGTCGCACGCAGACAGGTAACAGAACAGTTAATCATTCTGACCTTAAATTACCCAGAAGGTTTTGTTTAATGCTGGTTTGCAAGAAACAAAGTGAAGTGGCATTTAGAGCGCCTAATATCTTGGTGCCAAACACATGTGCATAATAATGGCATCCAACTTTTTGAAGAAATCCTTATTGAGTTCACTCTTCCTATCAATGAGATAGGGAGTGTCCTCCAAAACTGAATGGTGTTTTTCTTGTATATTTTATATATTCTTGTATATTTTCTTGTTATTGAGATGCCCAGATATGTAATTTTCACATAAGTTATTTTAAATGGTAGAGATGCAAGCCACTCACTACTTTCAGATTTGATGGGCAATACTTACTTTTTCCCCAGTTGATCCCGTAACCGCCAAAGGTGCCAAAATTAGTCAATAACGGAGAGAGTTGCTGGGATGGAAGTTTGGGGTTTTGTTATGTATAGTAAAATGTCATCAGCATAGAGCAATATAGTATTAGAGGTATATGCTGTGTCATAACCATGTATATCAGCGTGAGTGCGAATTGTCCGTGCCAGGGGTTCCAGAGCAAGAGCGAACAGTAATGGACTAAGAACACATCCCTGTCGTGTCCCTCTGCTGAGCTTAAACTGAGTGGATAATGTTTGGTTTGTAAGGATTCTGGCTGTGGGATTCTTATACAGTAATTTTATCCAGGAAATAAAATCTTGTCCCAATTGAAACTTCTCTAAGACAGCAAAGAGATAGGGCCACTCAACATGATCAAATGCCTTTTCGGCATCTAAGCTAAGTATAAGTAGGTCCTGTTGCGCCTTAGAGGAGTAAATTATATTAAATAGACGTCTTAGATTGTTAAAGGAGCTCCTATCTGGTATAAAGCCTGTTTGATCTGAATGTACCAGTTTATCTATTACCATACTGAGTCTACTCGCTAGTATTTTAGCCAGGATTTTTTTGATCCGAATTTAATAAAGAGATAGGTCTATATGATCCCACTTCCTCCAAGACTACCTTTTTTTGGGAGTACAGTAATAACTGCTTCATTCAATGGTGGTGGTAAGGTGCCCACATTGTATACATGGTTGTACAGTTTAAATAGATATGGAGCAAGTTTGATCTTGAGCTGTTTGTAAAATTCATTCCCTAACCCATCTGGGCCTGGACTCTTACCATCTTTACCATTTTATAATACACAATAGATTTAGTAATTTCTTTAGTTGTAATTTCGGCATTCGGGATCTTGCGATCCACCTGATCCAACACAGGGAGGTCACATCAGTGTCTTTCTTTTAATGTGTAAAAGGCTCAATTAGATTTTATATGTATATTATCTTTTGGCTGAGACTTTAAATTCTCTTTTCCTGTATTTCTTGGAGGCACTTTGTAACATTGGCTTTGATAATGAAGTTGATTAATATAGGACTTCCTAGTCTTAAAAATAAGTGTCATTATTAGTAAGCCTCATTATTTTTTTAATCCATTAGTTGGCATCCATTAACTTCCCAAAAAACCACAAACCCTCCATTCTGAAAAACTTTCAATTTAAATGCGTTTTCCATCAAAATAATCCTTTTTGTACCTTAGAGTGGCTGAGATGCCACTTACCCACAGCTACTCTCCCTCTGCATCTGCATGTCCCTCTTCATCACATGCTCTCTATGTGGAAGGAGTCCCAGTGGCCTTTCCACACTGCCACATCATTCTTTTGTTTAGTTTTTTTTTTTTTTTTTTAAGTGGGAATGGAAAATATAAAATCGGCAGTAACGGGAGCAGCTTTAAAATAAAACAAAACATCTTGATGGAATAACATTCGGAAGTATTCATTGCACTAACTTTATCTTCATGCAACTCCTTTACTCTGCTCCATATGCACGTCTGTATGACTGCTCCACACACAAAAACAGAGCAGAGGAGAGAAAGAAACTAGAGCAGAAACTGGCATGATTGCTAAATTAATGCTGGCACTGGTCTATAAACTAACCAGCTCACCTGTTGGCAGCAGGACCGGGAGACCTAGTTTACAACCTCGCTGATTTATCGGTACGCTCCACGTATTTGCAGATTCTGTATATTAAAGGTTTGCTTTTGCTTACAGTCATGTTACAGAGAAGACATAAAAAAGACGACTTGTGGAAAATCCTCTCAGCTTCTTAAATTTTATTCTCAGTCAGTAAATCCTCCGCCTGTGAAGCTGGGAGAAATTTACCACAGAACTATTTGGGGGGGAAAGCGAGCATGGTATTTGAACATTTGTTTTTGGGTTTTTTGGGGTTTATATTTGTTTAAGAAGGAGGTTTTGCTTTAAGTGACTGAACTTCTTGAATCAGATATTTCAGTGGTCTGAGTGTGTGTACTTGAGCAATGTGCTGATGCCAGCAGTCGTGTGCGTGTATTAGTACCCCCTCCAGGAAAGTGTGCGTTCTACCTGCTCGTGCCCTCCTGGCTGTAGAAAATGGAGTAGGTCAACTCGTCCCCATGCGGCTCAGCTGGTTGACGCCAGGTCAGCTTGATGAAGCGAGTGGACACCAGCGAAGCCACGACGTCTCGGGGGGCCGAGGAGGTGGGCCCTGCTGGACTGCCTACACCTCTGGAGCCTGGTGTTACATGGTCAGTAGTGTTAGGAGTCAGTGAAGGGGGAGGGAAAGAGGGCAGGGCTACGACTTTGGGTTGGGAGGGGGCAGGAAGGGAGGGATGGTGGGATGAGAGCAAGGGAGACCGGGAGGGAGACAGCCGTAGCATGTCGGGGTCGGGTGGGAGAAATATTGTGCAGAGGTGCCCAAAAGGAGCAGGTTGAGGAGAGGAGTTGAAATGGAAATGAAAGTGGAACGAAAGAAAGGGAGGAAACAAAAAAAAGAAAAAACAAAATAACAACAACGTAACAAAAAAAAAAAAAGACTCTTGGTGTGACAAGGAACCACAATACAACACTTCTACTACACTCACAAAGCTGACAAAGAGGGAGGGACTACACATGCAGATCTACACACACCTGTCTAATGCAAGGGCAGTGGGAGCAGAACAGTGTCACACACTTAACGTTCACCATCAGTGGCTTTCCTGCCAATCATTGGCATTAAAATGAATGATTGGACTGCATTTCTGCAAGGAGAGACACTTTGTCGTGACAGGGACAAAGTCGTCTCGTGGCCTGTTACACAGGAAAACCGTCTGACTTTTGTTTTACAGTAAAACAGCTTCGGACTAACCCAACCCCCCCTCTCACTTTAGCTTCTCATAACTAACGATGCTGCTGAAGCACTTCTGTCGTCGCATTCCACAGCCAAGCCACAGAAATGTTTGTGATTTCATTTCGAGTGCGTGTGTGTGTTTTTCTTTTTTCCTCCTCCTTTTCGGAGGAACAATCTGCGGTCGGACCTCGTGAGATCTGCTTTCCATTTGCCTGGCAAGCAGGCGAAACAAAACCATACGGAAAGAATGTTAGTCCGTATGACATTTCCATTTGTTTGCAGGTCGGGGGGAAACGGACTGGAGGGCAAGGCTGAAAATATAGGAAAGGCGCATGGCAAGTGCTGTGCTCAAACGGTGTGTTATTACGGGAGAAATTGCGATGGAATGGAAAGCGGCTGCTGGCATATTTATCTGTCACAGCATGTGGACTAACCGCTAATTTGGCTTTCAGAATTTGTTTACGTATCAAAGAGTTCACCGACTTCTGTGATCATATAAAAGCCAACATATGATATAGAAGATTCTGACCCACCCCCAAAGAAAAATGACACTGTTTGTATACACTTTCTGTATATAAACACTCAAGAAACTTTAGCTTCAACTCCGTATTTATGGGCTCTGTGTATACAGAGTAATGCTCTGAAGAACTGCTGTTGAATTTGTAGCATGCTCCAGTACTTTGGATGGGAAATAAACAGATTGTCAGGCTCAATTTTAGCTTGTTTACATCTACACTCAATAAAAAAAATTTTTTAAAAAAAAGGTACTGTTGCCCAAATTTGGATATCTATCTATGAAATCCAAACTCTCGTTAAAGTCACAGACATCAGCACGACACCTTGTGTAGGATATGTGGAGGGCCGCTTCTTGCACATTTCAGGAATGTTTTTTTTTTATTCATTCTCATCTGAAAAGATGGATTTAGGTCAGCTGAGTGATGAGGCCTTGCCTTACCCTACAAAAATCCAGTATTGTTTGAACTCCAGTGGCCAGCCAAAACTATTTTACACCATTTAGAAAAACACTGGCTGCCTTTTCCCTGCGATTAGGGTTCTTGTTCTAAAAGTGGTGAAGAAACCCCCCCAAAAACCAACCCAGCCGTCTCTCAATCTTCACCAAGCAAAGGTAATGACAGCCTCAAACAAGCTTAAAGCTGGAAGTCAGCACTTCAGCCTCAACGCCACTGTTTCATTTCAAATCCTGTTTGCTGGAGTAGTGCCAGCAACAATGAAAAACACATTATCATCCTAATACTTTCTGACTGCAGTGTAAATGACCAGATGCTGAATAATTATCCCCATTTATAAAGCGTCTCGCACACGCACAAGCATCAGAATTATCGCCACATAACTCGAACCAGGTTCACCGAATCACCAAAGGCTCAGTTTCTTAATAGGGAAGCGCTTCCTGAATTCCAAAAATCTGAACGCAGTAGAGTGCAACCCAGAAACACAGCGCAAGTAGGAACTCCCGGCAAATACTGTGGATGGAACGACTCATTGTTGACATATTTCAAAAAGTTTTAACCTCAGAATATTCTATCAACAAGATACAATTCAGCTGGAAGATGAGATAAAGACAACATCCACAGGAAATTAGTAATTCCGCTTCCAGATTCAGGTTGTATAAAAAAAAAAGTCCTGCAGGCAATAATCTATGAGTCCCTTGAGTCTGTAGAATTAATTTATTGAGATGAATACAAAGGAATTAACAATTTAGAGATTTTAATGTGCATACTAATTTTGCCATATCTTCAGGAAAGAAGGATTAAAAGCCAGAGGAAGCTTGGAAGGCAAAAGATATGCTACTCTTTCATAGTAACCAGAAGGGCCCTGCTTGATAACCTCACGCTGTGCTCCAGCTCACATATTAAATATGAAATATTACTATTATTCCAACACACATATGGTTATATAGCAATGAAATATGCCTTTAAAGGCCTTCTCCTTTCCCTCACATGATAACTGTTTGAAAGAACTTCAAAAGCAAAGTCGGATAGCAACATTTGCTTCACATTAGTCAGTTTTGCTTTGAACCCTGTTGGGCCACAACTTCTTGATTAAAACAGAAGAATAAGTCAGAGAATATGAGTTGAGCTTTAAGAAATGCATATCTGGACCTTGTTTTATTTCTTTCCTTTTTTTTTTAAACTCAACTTTATTAACCTTAACTAGTTGTTGGCTGGTTGTTGATGTCTGCAGAAAAAGAGAAAAACAGGCTTTTAATAGGTCTAAGATTGTCTCCTAAGATGACACAGGAAACAGGTCACTGCCTTTGCACTCTGCTCAACGCCATAATTCTTTTAGCGAGCGAATTTGTCCATCAGTACTCTTGCCCAGTGTGGACTACGAGGTTATCTCAGTTTGAAGCACAAACAGAATCAAGACCACCTCACAGATCAGACAAGGGCGAGGAAATAAAATCATTACGAGCGGCTTCCATCTTCATACACCGTGTCCGCCGTAGGTAATTGACATGCTGGGCAGTTTTCGGTGTCCTTCTGACAATCTCTCTTGTACATGTGTGCCTGGGATTGTTACAGTAAGAAGGTGTCAGCCTCCCACTGCTATTGCCGAGCTCTATTCATAGCTGATTAATAGTGTCATTAGTCTCCGTGCCAGAGGTAATGAATTACTGGCATTAAGGCTTAACGAGGAAGGTTACTTTAGATCTGCATAATAATCTGGGTAACCCAGGCAAAAAAACCCAACTGGGACAAAGACATGCATAACAGGTCGTCTTAGCGTTCAATGGAAGCAAAACACGTTTCAGAAATAAAGAAATGGAGCGGTGTGAAAGTTCTGACTAAAGGCTCATAACTTTTATCTTGTGCTGCCAACATCATAATCCCTGTGAGCGTCGCTGGGCAAAGCTGCATTTCCATCAAACTGGTCTGAGTTCACCGATAAGAGAGCCAGCCTAACTCACCGGCTCAGCCTTACACACCTCTACCGAGAGAACGGAAACCTAATGAATGTCTGCAGGAAGCACACACAGCACTGTAACTACAGATAGCCTTTTCAGAAGGAATTCAGCAAGCCACGCCAGGCTCTTGCAAAATGGATTTTCTCAGGCCTGGTTTCCATGTCTAATGTAGTTCGGTAATGACGACGGCGTAAGACACTGATGTAGCACAGTGCTAATGGTCCATTACTGAGTCACTACTTTCATCTGGCCTAGAAAAGAAGAAGAACAATGTACTCAAAAAGCATAGTCGAGAGTCTTCAGAACAGCATCACAAAGAAGACAGTCAATTAAAACTGCCAGTCAGCAGTTCCATATCACCCTCCTCCCCCCTTCTCTCTCTCTCTCCCTTCATGTCCCGTCCCTATCTACACTACACTGCCATTTTCAATAAAGAAATGAAAGCCAAAGTAAATAAAAATGACAGCCTTTGTCATGTTTTATGCAAACACGGAGTAGTCGCATTATGATAAAACCGAACAGCCTATCTGTAGGCCCGAAGGTTATTACAAAGAACCAAAAGAAATTTCTGCTGAACAAAGACAAAAACAATCCGTGGAGACATTAATTCTCTGAAATGTAAAAGACACTGTAAGTAAGAACAGAGCAACTGCAAACTGGATCACTCTTATTGGTTCTCTAGTAAATGTAGCCAAAAAAAAAAAAGAAGAAGAAGAAGAATCGTTTTTCTTTCCTGGTGACAACTGTGGCTGTTTTTAGTTTTAAATAAATTCTGCTCTCCCTTCACTCTCTTTAAAGAAAAGACAGGAAAGATGAGCAAGCCTGACAGCTCATGACATTTGAGCAGCTCCTTAACGCACCGACAAAGGAAAGAGTCAGAAGGAGAAGACAAATGTTTCAAGAGAGACGTGAGAGGGGAGGAGGGAAATGAGCAAGAGCGAGGAAAAGTCTGACCAAGCATTCTTTTTTTTTGGAGTCCCCTCGGTTCCTTTCAATTACCCTGTCGACAACAATAACAAACTCCATTTTTAAAAAAGATTTTCTTGCTTTACAAGCAATACAGCAATAAATGAAAACCAATGACACAAACAATAAAAATACGAGACACTCATCAGCGAAGAAAAAAAATAAAAGAGAGAAAATAATAACAAGCCAGCCTGCCCACTACAGGGACACCCGTAGTTAGGAATATAATCTTTGTCTTGGGACCTTTCTTGCACTTGTATCCTGACACCTTATCACTAGCCAAGGGGGACGTGACAGAGATTCAGTATTGGATTGCTGAAGGGTGGAGTGTATTGGTAACTGCACGCATTCCCTCTAATCAGAAACAGTCGAGATTAAAGCGTAGCTCGAATCTCAGGGAAAAGACTGACTCACTGACATAATTCAGAAAGGAAAAAGTCTCAAACTTATTCTGTTAAAAAAAATCTCAAACGGCATCCCCTCCACATTCCTCTCCCTTTTCCTCCACCGCTTTCTAGGGCATGTTCACTCCCATCCAGCACTTTTCCCAGGAAATAAAGAAGTCTCACCAATTAAAAGA